TTTGGTCACAATCTCAGGATGTACAGTCAGCAGACCTGGATCTGAATCCCATTTCCAATGTCAGACGGCTGTGAAATACTAGGCAAGCTACCTCATAAGGATTGAATAAGATAATGCACAGTGTCGGCACATAAAAAACGTCTAATAAATGTTGACCTTCACTGCTACTGGTACCACTGCTGCTAGCAGTGGTGGAGTGGTGAAGAATTCTCAAGTGGCAGCAAGAGTGACATGTAGTGAGTCATGGTGAAATTCACCAAAGAGTAAATTTCAAGAATTGTTGGTTCTAAGGAAGACAACTCTAGAAAGAGGAGGTGGCAAACCAGGTTCTTCTCTTGGCTTCACTGCTACCTAAGCACGCAATCGTGTCTCATCTCCTCTTAGGAGATGGTACAGGCAGACAGACTGAGGCTCAAGGCTTGCTGCAGCTATTGTAAGACAGCACTCTCTCCAAGCGTTCTCTGTGGAAGGGAACAGAGCTACCTACCTCACACAGTCTTAAGGTAAGGATTAAAGAAATCACCAATGAAGAAGGGCTAGCACTGCATCTGGCTACTTCATCTTTTTGTTTGTTTTTATCAGCACTATCTGTAAGTTCTCTTTTCTACTAACAGTATCTTTCAACCTCATGATTCCAATGAGCCTAAGCCCTTACAAAGTAGGGAAATATCTATACATATCTGTATGTAGCAAAGATTTGGAGAATCCAAACGCAAAGTTTAATTTGCTTAGGGCTCTTTAATTATTGGTCACATTGTTGGTTCCCTGATCAAATTAACATGCTTAAAATACCTGATGTTAAATTTTAAGCACAGCATACTCAAACTTGTTAAAATGTACCAGCTGAATTTATTTTAAAAGGCTTAATTTTCCTATCATTGGAACAAAATGTAGTAAAATTATAAAAGTCTTCTGAGAAAACTTTTGGTCTTATAAGCCAAAGAAACCACACACATGGTACAAATTTTTCAGTGTAACCTTAGCCCTGAAGTACTATTACATCCTGATTGTAGCAGCATCTTGTGTTTGCCCGATAAAGCACACATTATATAATTTGAGAGGCTAGTGCTTGACACATTGTCAAATGCTTTGAATACTTTTGTTAATTCTCTCCCATTTCAATTCCTGAACCACCATTTTTTGTCTCTAGCACAAGAAGTATTCTTCAGGCCTTCACATCTCCACACTTCTAGAGGCTGAAATGTAACAGCAAACATACACCCTGTTTACACCCTGCTACATGGTTATTTGCATACATTACACTCATTTGTGTTTAACTGTAAAGCAAGTGTTCATATTAATAATATGAGAGTATCAGATGTAACATCAAAAATGGAGACTGAGGTTAAATAAAATAATCTCACAAAAGTGATAGAGCTCCGGTTGATAGTACCTGATGGATATCATTTACTATCATATCATAAGCCAGAAACATCAACATATATGTTAGGGGGTATTATTATTTTCTAAAATTATGCATGTTTAGTCTAAAGAGGCAGTAACTTTTAATTGAGAGGAAGGACCCTGAGTCCACATGAGCACTTGGCACCCTGACACAGCACACATATAGTTGTTTGGGTGGTTCTTGTTTGTCTTCTCCAACAGTGCAGCCTTCGTAAGAACTTAGTTTCACTCCACTGAATCCCTAACTCATGCATTTCAGGGAACAGTGGCTGGCACGGAGAAGGTGCTCTATGGGTACTTACTGAACGAATCCCCATCTCTCCCATCCCCAACTCATATCCCCTAAAATATAATTATTTTCTCAAAGAGTCCAAGGGTATTGACTCACAACAGGCCTTCCATTGGGGTCTTTGAAGTCACGGATGGGGGTCCAATCTATGTAGCCAAGCTTTTTAATTCAACCAAATCCAGTCAAACCATTCAGATTATGATGTGTAATCCTAAACATACATAAAACATATATGTATACGTGTGTGTGTATATAGCCTCTAATCAGGGGACTTGGTGGGCCCTGGCTTTCCTAAAACAGTCGCCAATCTCATTTACTGCTATATATACTTTAGGTCCATCACCTCTGGAATATTCTTCTCTCTTATTCCTTCCCCACCAGTCTTCCACCACTCAGCATAAGGGTTACTTCCTCAAGAAAGCCAGCCCCGTTCCCTGTTCCCTGATCCACAGCATTCAGTACTGCCCTTCCTTGCAGTGTCCACACTTGGCAATGACGTCTTGTGCATTACTTGTGTGGCGCCTATCTCCCCTCCAGGCTCCACACTCCACAAGGGCGGGGGCGTGGCTGGCCGGGCAGCGGTGGGCCCCTGCTGCGCAGCCCCTCGCACACGCAGGTGCTCATGAATGTTGAAGAATGAGCTGGATGAGTCTATCGGTCATTAGCCCAGCAAACACTAAGAACAACAAAGAGAAGTAACTGGGCATTCTAGGCCCTAACAGGCCCATAACTGGAAAGCACAGTAACAATGAGGGGGCCACCACAGTCATCTGTGTTTCATTTCACTCACTCATTTATTTATTTTGACATAAGAGTGTCGCTCTGTCACCCGAGCTAGAGTGCAGTGGCATCATCACAGCTCACTACAACCTCAAACTCCTGGGCTCAAGTGATCCTCCTGCCTCAGCCTCCCAAGTAGCTGGGACTACAGGCAGGCACCACCACACCCTGCTAATTTCCATTTTTTTGTAGAGACAGGGACTCAAACTCTTGGCCTCAAGCAATCCTCCCGTCTTGGCCCCCCAGAGAGCTAGGATTATTGCTATAAGCTACCATACCCAGCCACGGTCCTCTTCAATTTAAAGAAGTTTTTAATTGTGATAAAATATCTCTTATTCTTTCAAACAGGGAAATAAAAATCATCCTAGGGCTTTTGTCTCCTAGTACCCTGGAACTCTGTTCCTTACAACATCAAAAAAATTAAAAAGGTCACACAGAAAGAGAAAGATTTGCTCACACACAAGATAATTCGAGAGACCTTCAGAACTGGGAGGTAATGTTTCACAGCAGTGAAAAGAGTGTACTGAAATAGAAGATCTGGGCTCCTGGCTCCTCTACTTACTGACTAAATATCCTGAGTAAGTCTTTAATATGTCTGGGCCCTCAGCTTCTCCATCTGCAAAATGGGGAAACAAAACCTAACACATGGGGCACCATGAGGACAGAATGAAAGAACCAACAACCAAGTACTCTGTGAACTATGAGGTGTCACACAAAGACAAGTAGCAGGAAATAGAAGCGTCACCTGGGCCAAAGCCCAGCCCTCAACCAAAGAACCACGTACACATCCCAGAAAAAACAGGAAACACAGAACCACGAGGGTAATTTTTCTATTTTGTTTTAATGTCCCCAAGATGCATGGATCTAATCCACAAGACCCACTCTTCTTGTTAAACTACTCCACTCGCTGCTAAGAAGAGTCACCCCTGGGCCGCCTTCTCCTCCCTGGTCTCACCAGCCCCGTTTTCTTGCACCTGCTCTGATGGGCCAAATTTATACGCTTTCCCCCCTAATTCTGAAGCTGCTCTATTCTTCTGCCAGCTTCCAGAGTTCACAATTCGTGGGGAAGGACCACGCCTGGGCTCCCGGTCTCCACTCTGGTGACGGCTGGTCAAGCCCCTCTGCCCAGGGCGCCCCCCTCCCCAGGCTCCACTCTCCCCTGGGCTAAAGGTCAAACACTCCTGTGAGAGGTCACCTCCAACTGTTCAGTATCTCAGTTACTTGCCACAGACTGCGAACTCGTCGGTGACACTTTTTCCTGATAACAGAACGACAGCAAGGCAGGCAACACACAGAGAGCATGGGACCTCTGTGCTTCTGGAAGCCCCTGAGGGGGGCGGGATGGGGTGAGGTGCGGAACATGGAAAGGAGTCCGCACGGATCCCAGGGACAAACTCAGGATTCCTTCCGCAGTGCCTTGGGCTGCTCACCCACACGCAGATGCGGCGCTCACACTCCCAGCCAAGGAGTGGGTGTGAGGAAAGGGTACGGGGCTTGGGGGTGGGAAAGAAGGGAGGATCACATATGTACGTGAAGTGCCTGGCTGGGAAACAATGGGGCGACGGGTACAAGATGGGGCGGGGGGGAGGAGGAAAAGAAGAAAATGACAAACAGAGTCCAGATGCCAGTGTCTCTGGTATTTATGGCATTATAATGCATCGCAGTGTACGTCTAACTGTTAAAATACCACTCTGTTACTTCTTAAGAAGAACAACTTGCTATCTTGAAAAAACAGATTTGGAAAGGCAGTATGGAACAATGGCTAAATGTTTAGGCTTTGGAGTTTCAAAGACTTGAGTTTGAAGCCTTAATCCATCCGATATGAACTGTGTGACTTTGGGAAAGTTATTTAACCTCTCTGTTTCCTCATTTATCAGACTCCTAACCTCACAGGATTTTTGCAAGGATAAAATATGATCGTATATCCAAGTAACGTTGCATGGAACCAGCCACTGGCAAGATCCAACAAATGTTACTGGCCTGGCGCAGTGGTGTACACACTTTGGGAGGCCAAGGTGGGAAGACTGAGCCCAGGAGTTTGAGACCAGCCTGAGCAACACAGCAAGACCTCGTTTTCCATAAAAAATTTAAAAATTAGCTGGGTGTGGTGGTACACCCCTGTAGCCCCAGCTACTTGGGAGGCTGAGATGGGAGGATCACTTGAGCTATAATAGTGCCACTGCACTCTAGCATGGACAGAGGGAGATCCTGTCTCAAAAAAAAAAAAAAAAAAAAAAGTTACCTGTTGTTAAATTTTATAAAACCCAAGAGCCTGTCAAGGTCCCTGCCTGCAGCTTAAGTACCCCCTGGAGCTTGAGGCCCAGAGCAGCGGTAGACAGTCAGCTCTGAAGTTCTACGTCCTAGCCAACACGTTTATGCTTGGCTGTCTTCCCCAGGTCTGTCTTCACACAGGGTATTTGTCAGGTACGAAGGCAGGAGAAAAAGACGTAAGACAGAGGAATGAGAAGGTAAACAGGAACAGGAAGCAAATCCTGGATTCAAGACACACCTCTCTGGGCACACTCACCGAGTCTGGGTCTCGCTGCTGTTCAAGAAAAGCTGAAAATTCCACCAGGCGAAGCTTGGTTGTGCCAATGGATCGGCCCTGCCAGGCGGGGACCGAGGGAGCTGGGGCTGACGCAGGCTCAAACCCTGAAAGACCAATCGTCATCTTAAAACCTGTCTTCTCCTTGCCACCCCTCAGGCCTAAGGCCAAGGCCAGGACAGGGCTATGTGGGTGACCCTGCAGAAATGGCCAGGAGGTCCCTCTCCGGTGTCTGGGGGGAAACTCAGGGAGGCGGTGGTGGTATTCTGGCTGAGGATCCCATAGACAGTGACCAGCCAGATAAGCACAATGCATGTGCCCCTCATAAAGCCACCTAAGCCGCTAAGGTTAAGGGCCATGGCATGAGGACATCTAATCTCGGACAAAGGGGCACAGCTAGAATGACTGAGCAGTCAGAAGTGAGGGCTTCCAAAGACTTCCTAAGAGCCCTTGATGTGTGTACACTTCTTGTGCTTGTCCATCTCCTTTCTTAAGACCATAGTCACCAGCACTACAGAATATTCTTCCAGAATGTTCCATGGCTTTGGAACAGAGGGCAATGTGATATGCATTTTCAGTCTATGGAATCGACAGTGAAGAGCAGTGACTTTCGTACTGTAACTTAAGCAGTTTCACTAGGTAACTGTGTGTGTGTATTGGGGGGAGTATCTGGTGGGAGGGACTGGGGGGCAGGCCAGAGTTGTGCCTTCTACTTTGGGTTTCCATGTAAGCTCTCCTTTAAAGAAAGGGTACTGGCAACTGACATCTACTTAGCCAAGAAAGGTGAATAAAAACATGTCTGCCTTTGAGACCCGGACTGCCCAATTCTGCTGGTTTATGATGAGGAAGGAGCCACAGCAACTTCCCCTTCTGGGGATGATCGATGTCTCAAGTGAAAGTGATGAGGCTTCCTAGTTCTTTAAAAACCCAACATAAGAGCTCCTGGGAGATAACTGAAGGGTGTCGGGACCTAGCAGGGACACCCCCGTGGCCCTCCCGAGCTAACCCCTGACGTAAGTAAGGAGGGCAGGGTGGAAGGGGTGTCCACATCCTGCAAGTCACAGGAGCTGTGTGGCTGTGACAAAGACGAGCATCTCCCCACTCTGGGGACAAAGCGACAGGCCCAGCCGTCAGTTGCATGGGGCTGTGTCCCCGAGAGGGTGTCCCAGGGAGACTCACCTGGAATGGGGGCCGTGACCGCTGGTTGGATGGGGTAGGCCTGCTGCACGAAGGGCTTGACGCTGGGAACAGAAAGGTGGACGAGTCAGAAACTGCATCTGTAGCAGCAACTACTACCCAAGCCAGGCTGTGGCCTCCCCGTGGGAGGTCCCCCACCCTTCCTGCAGGTGGTAGCACATCCCAGGTGGAGCTCTACCCCAGGCACAGGCAGTTGCTCTGTCCAATTGACAGGGGCCAGGAGCACACTAGCGATCAACCACCAACCCCCCTGACAGTTCAGTGGGATGGGCTGGACAGATGTCCGCCTGACTTCCATGTGCTGTGACAACTACCTTTCTCGGTCCCTACAGAGACTGAGGTCAGCTGTCAACCATTTCCAGGCAAGGGGTGGGACATGCTTCAGGCTCTCCTTCTCCAGGCCAAATAGTTCCAGTTCTTTTGACAACGTATAGGCAGGATTCCCTTTCTACTTCTATCCCCAAATTGCCCTTCTGGTTCAGGTTTACTGAGCCTTCTCCCCTTGCCCCCATGGTACCAGCAGCATTTTCTATCAGTTTCCCACCCCAGGGAAAGCCGGAATGGATCGGGCTATAGACCCCAGGTCCTGCCTGCAACCCCAAGAAGGGACAGGGTCCCTTTCTGTTTCCAGCTAAATGACTGCAAATACTTAAGGGGGGAGTCAGGTGCGTACTCCCCTCTCAGATCTGAGAAGTCAGTCTCTCTCCTGCCACTGGCCCCAGTAAGAGGGGGATGACTTCTGGGATCTCCACGTAACCCTCCTTTCTCCTCTAACCCGCTGGACAGCCTGCTTCTGGGAGAACTTGCCCCAGGTGGGCTGTGACCAGCCCCATGTTGTCATTGCCAGCCCCTCCTCAGACTTACTCTTGCGAGGATCCTGGCTGCCCTGTTTGGATCATTCCCGGCCAGAACTGAAAGGCAAAACGCAAAGGCCTCAGGATTATGAGTTTACTTCAAAGCGCAATTCAGGATGTGTAGGCATTGCAACCTTGCTAACTGACCGCAGGTTCCTGTCGCCCCATCAGAATCACCTTCCCCGAGTGCAAACGGGGTCAGCAGTATGCACAAGGCCACAACCCACACCCTTGCCTGGCACTCAGGCCTCCCCTTAGCTCCTCCGTCCTGAAGATGCCCCCAGGGCAGGGGCAGACAGCAGCTCTCCAGCGTTCTCAGGACACCTAACAGAGATCTGGGCGTACTGTGGGGGTTCGCAAATATTTCAAAGGACTGCTTTATCCACGTACCCACCCATCTTCCTCTTCCCCCTCGGTTCTGAAGCCCTCCCTGTATAATACTCTGCCTCCATGTCATGGAAGGTCCAGCAGGGCAGAGGACAAAGCTAGAACAAGATGGCCAGAAACAGACAAGATGGTGCCTGTGGTCCCAGCTACCCAGGAGGCTAAGGTGGGAGGACTGCTTGAGCCCAGGAGTTCAAGTCCAGCCTGGGCAACACAGCAAGACCCTCATCACTTAATAAAAAAGGTAGCCAGAAGCTCTGAGAGGCGTGTTGCCTGTGTTAGGCATCTTATTTGCTGGGAGCTGCTGCCCACCGGAGAGGTAAAAGCAGGCTTTGGAGTCAGACAGCCCTGAGTTTGAATGCTGACATCACTATCCATTCAACTATGATCCAAGTTACTTAAATTCTTGTTTCGCTACTAAAGAACCTCAACTTTCTCATCTGTCAAATGGCAATAACAATAAGAAGTATTTAAGATTACTGCAAAAATCAAATGAGATTATAAAAATGCTTCTCAGCCTTGAGAAGGCGAAAATGAAAATGTTATAGAACACCTTATATCACTTTAGGATTAGAGGGGACTGAGGGCCAGGAAAAAGATAAAGAGAGCACAAGAGGCAGATCACAACCCAGAAAGGCACTGGAACGTAATTCTGTATCTTCAGGGACTAAGGATTTCTTCCTCTTCCTCCCTTTCTGCATTCTCCCCCCTGGTCTTTCTCTCTTTTCTTCCTCTTCTCCTTCCCCCGCCCTCCCTCACTCTTCCTGACCTTCTCTCTAATCCCAGCTCCCTCCCCTTCTTTCCTTCACCATCTTACACACAGCATCGGTTCACCATAAGGTGGTCCTCGGCCTCTCACACACCTGACCCAAGTGACAAGAAGTGCCAGGTGGAAGGCCGAACGCTGGCCTACACCAACCCCAACCCCGGCAGCTGTCATTATCACCCTGGGCTTGTGACTTACCCCCGGCGCCCCCGGGAAGGTGGGGCGTGGAATCCCAGGCAGCCCCAGCTTGTTGTGAATGGCAGTGGCCGAGACGATCTGGGCTGAGGACATGGCCGCCATGTGCTGCAGGGCCTTATCCTTTGCAGTCTGATCCTTGAAGGTGACAGTGACACACCGACTTAATACAGAACGCATGGCTACCAGACAGGTGAAACAGGCACAGCCACGAGCACATGGACTAAAATACAGAGCCACAAAAGAGGCCAAAAAAGCAAACATGCATGGATAAATAAACACAGCCAGAAGGCTAAAACACACTCAACCTACCGCAGCTCTGAACATTTACAGAGACTACCCAGTGGGGCAAGGTGTTTTTGCTTGTTTTTAAGAATTAAATCCATTTTCTAACAGAATGTAAAGCCTCTGAGAGAGGTGGACAATGTATTTGTTTATTTTTTCAGCTTACAGAAAAAATCTCTCCCATTACTTAGCATGCTCAAGGAGGAAGGGGAGAAAAGGGCCCTGCTGTAACTGATGGCAGCAGGGCGACAGAAGAGGTGTGGTTGTGGACTGGGACAGGGCAATCCTCAGAGCTCGGGCGCCCTCTCTGTGTGTGTGCTGGCCATCGCAGGGCCACAGTCCCCGGGGAGCCGCTAGGGCGCAAGGCCTGGAAGCTCTGGTGGACATCTGGTGGGGGAGGGGGGTCAGAAGCAGCGGATGGGCGGGGGCAGAGGGGGGTGATGGGCCAAGCAGCATGCTGGCGGGGCGCATGCTCTCTCAAGTATCCCCGCCGTGGGTCTAAGGCTATACGGGTTCGTATAAAGGCCAAGAACACAGGGGATGCTACGGGTAAGTGGTCTCCCCTTTTCCTAAATGGGTCTTTTCTAGAAAAGCCAAGGCTGATAACACAAAGCTAGCCAAAAAAGTCTGCCAAGCACAGCTAAAAATATAGAATATACTCAGTTTGGTGAAAATACTTACCATGCTTGTTACCTGGATACAATAATAAACAATTTGTTAAAAGGATTGCGTACAAAGGCAGGGTTATTTTTCTTCTTCAGTTAAAAAATATATATGTATACAAACACATAATACTTGGATACAATAAAATGCATAGAAGCGTGGGGTCTTTTTTTTCCCCCACATTTTAGGAAAAATGCACAATCCAGATAGCTATCTAGAAAGGCAATTATCAGGAAGGACACCCAACAAATAGCAACAATCAAAAAACTGCCCCAGCTCCATCGGGCTGGTTCTGTGGCTTCCCCAGGACAGATGGAGAGAGACGTGGTCAGACCCCTGGCCCGTGAGCAGCCCCATGGGCACAGGCAGGGCTCCAAGCCTGGTGAGCACAGAAAGGCTTCTGGTTGCTAGTAGAGGATCTATACTCCTGGCCCAGACGCCATCAAAGCGGGAACAAAATGGCGCCATGAAAATAAAAAGGGCGCCCTCCACAGCTGTCCTCCGGGGCTCAGACAGTCAGGGAAGGTCACAGGCAGCTCCTGGACAAGACGCAGAGTTCCAGCTGAGAGGGGGCTTCAGCGTTTACAGATTCAACCACAGGTGATGAAAAAACAGGCTGAGGTGCCAAGGGCAAGGCCAAAGGAGGTTAAAAACAAAAACACAAAAACAAATAAACCCTAAAGCCTACCAAACAACTACTAGGGGCTTCTAGAAAGACCTACTAGGTACTCCCAAGGTGTAGACACTGCTTTGCCCCATAACTGCCTGGAACACCACAAAAAGCTTATACTAACCCTTGAAAACGAGCCACAAAAAAAAAAAAAAAAAAAAAAAAAACCAAAAAAGGAAGAGAAGGAAAAAGAGCCTAACACGTGCATAAATTTTAATGTTTTACATAGTTCTCTGGCCCATAACTGAAAAGCCAGCAAGCCTCAAATGGCAACAGCTTAACAGGGAAGTGCATGGTCATCACAACACCTGTGGTGGCACCTGCCGCAGCCGACTGCAGGCCTTGGAAGCCCTCAGGGTGTTACAGGCCCCCACAGGACGGCCAGGCAACCCTTAGCGTGACTCTTCTGCTGCTCTGTCAGCTCCTATCAGATGGTATTCCTCTGAGTGCAGGCTCCATTGGCTAATCTGTCAAATGCCCTAACCCAAAGCTAGCTTCCCTGGGTAACTTTTTTTTTTTTCCCCCAAAAGATCTAAAACATTTCAGATACTGAGGATGTCAGAAAAAAGACAAAAGCTGAAGTAATGGGATTTTATGATAAGCTGACTGGGAGTGTTCATGTGCCCTAAAGCTGAACTGAGCCCAACACACAGATCTCCGTGCCAGTCGGCCCACGCTGAGCTGGCCCCTGCCCCGCATGTCCCCGGAAGGTAATCCAGGAACAGAAAACGAGGCTCCCGTCACACCTGCTCCACTGGCTGTCAAGAACTCCACAACACCCACACACATTCACTGGTTCTCCTTTGGACTCCAGCCCCCACGCCACCTACCCCCTAACTGAAGGTTATAAACACTCTCAGGGCAATCCCTGAAACCGAGGTCACGGCACAGGTATAACCACAGGCACCGTCCTCAGCACAGAACAAGCCTGACAACTTCTCTGGGGCCCAGATTAGGGGGCTTGGATAATGGCAGCCCAGACTTCTTGCCTGCCTGGCAGATGCATCTGAGGAGTCACTACAAAAGAGCTCGTGGGCTTGGCTCTATTCCAAAAGATCACCAGGGGGCCTCTCAAAGACCCGAGAGTTCTGTTTATGAAATGCTGGTGATGGGCGATTCTGCTTCCCCGCATGCAGAATGTGTCTGTGCTCGCTCAGGTGGGGCGACTCATGAGTAAGTCTAGGTCCAAACGGAGATGAGTTCCCTGCATCTCTACAACCCACGTTATTCTAGTAAGAGCTGCCTGAAATGTTTCCCTTTGCCAGGCTTTATTGAAAAGTTCTTCTAAGTGTTTATTATGCAGGGGAAATCAGTTAACACAGGAAAGGAGAATAGTAACTATCTCTGCTGTTTATGTCACACACCTTCGGAATATGATCTTTCTCTTCTCTTAAATGAAGTAAGGTCTGACTCTCTCATTACCAGAACTCTACCAGGTACCCAAATGAAAACAAGAGTTCAAAAGCAGCAGAGCAAATCAATTGCTTTTATCGCACCAACTTGCTCTGTGACCATAAAAGGCCGACTTGCCACGGAGCTGGGAGACCTGGTTCCAAATCTGCCTGCCTGACATTAATGAGCTGTGTTATGTTGGGCAAATCATTTAACACCCTCTACTTCTCTTCATCTACAAAATAAAGAGTTGCACTTTATTCTCTAATGTATGTGTTTCTGGTTCTAAAAGTATTTGTTGCTATGAGGGCAAGTTCCATCATAAAGAAATACATCTTAATATATTTAGCAAAAAAACACAAACCTACTAGTGAGAAAATAGTGGGATGTTAAAATTTAGGCAGCTCTTGGCTGCCTGTCCTAACAGAGAAAGCCAAGTTTGGAAAGGAAATTTTATCCCAAGTAGAAGTTCTTCTACTTGACCTACCTATTTGAGAATAGGTAATTTTCTGCAAATGGACTAAAATGTCTACACCAGTGATTTCCTATCTTTTGTAGTAGAGCTCCTGACTACTCATTTAATTTTATAACATCTCCCCTTTATCTATGATACATATTTGAAAATTAAAAGGATTGAAATTTTTTGTTTAAAATCTAAAGTAACCCTGGAGATAATAAGCACCACCAGGGATATCTCGAAATCAGCACTGAAAGCCTGGCTGCACACCCACTTATCCTGAAATGGGAGTGCGGAAGGATGCCAAGCTAAGAGATTTCAATGGAAGGATCTATAAATTGCCATTTTTGGTGCAGAGATACATGCCCAGCTTTGAAAAAATTATAACTCTAAGTGTCAGACCTGAGTAAATTGCTCCTCTCTGTCACTCTGGTCTAACATCCTGGACTTTTTACCCATTCCACTTTATTCGCCCCCACTCTAAAGAGGAGGGTAATGATTTATCCAAACAAGTGGAGCTTCAATAAATTTAAAAACACAAGCTACACTTGTACACGGTATTAATTCTATTCTACCGCGTTTTTACACCAATATTTCTGAAATGTGCATGAGACCTACAAAGAATGAACACATCGTTTTATCTTGAAAAACTGTTAATAAGTCAATACCGAATTATGCTGTGTGGTGTCTTAGATTACAGAAAACATTCTGAGCGTGTGCAAGTGTAAATATGAGCACGAATAAGAAAAACATGTCCTAGATAAAAGCTTGGACAAGTTCACACTGACTCCTTATTACTGATTTTAAGTTCCTCTATCCCTAAGACTACAAAGAATGAGGCTACCAAAGGCTGCGTGTTTGGTGGGTGGGGGAAGAAAAGGGAAATCTCCCTTTTCCAATTGAACCTTAACACAAGCCCATGACCTGCAGGGTGGAAACCGCTTACAGAGCAGGAACCGTGGGTCTCTAGACTGTCGATGGGGAAGAGGATTGGTGCTGAGAACAAATGGTACAACTGACCTGAGAACGGGGCAGAAGAAGCACTCTGACTCATCACCTACCCTACTTTCTTCACTATCCAGTTTTCCAGAACACCACACTGTCAGTGGTCTCACTGCCTCTGCCACTCACGGTCCCAGCAGACTTTATCACAGATAAACTCCTCTGCCTGAAGCCTTTCAAAGTGTTGTGGTTACTAAGTAAACAGGCTTTCATATTTCATGAAGCAGAGCAAGGCTGCTGCTGTAACCCTCTGTTCTGCTGACTGACTCCTGTTTTTGGTTGAAATAGATGAATGTTTGGAAAATGTCTACATGTAATATACATGACAGGAAGACAGCAAGAACACAAAGGCACATGGCTGGAGTGGTATGCTCTTAAAACCTGCGGACACCTCAGGCATCAGTCTGGACATTATAGAAGTTCCCTTGTTCCCTTCTCTCCCTCTTGCTTTACCAGCTTTTGATTATTCTACAAAATCAATTATCTCATACTCTGTAGGCATTACCATGAACAAATTTTAAAGGTAATTTAAAAAGGTCAAATGCTGGCATATACTCTTTATATTCCACATATAGAATTTTAATGAACAGTGTACGAAATCAATATATTCCAAACAGTTTACTCAAGGGCCATCATTTCAGAATTTAAAGATAAGGCCCCAATCAAATTTAGTCATATAGAAGTCCACCAAATACATCAGGAAATATATGTAAAGTCAAAATATGATCATGGATTCAAAAACTTTTGATAGCTATTAAATGTTTTCCTCCAAAAATACTTTTCCCAGCAATATAAAAATATAACGCAAGGAAGGAAAAAACAGCAATTTGCTTGCAAAATCACTTTTTCAGAAAAAGACAAAACACAAAATACTTTCCTAAGAAGTAATTTTGCAGATGTTGTTTCTAATCTTGCACTATGTGGATTCACATGACCTCTGCGATTATTAGCCGTACCCACGGAATAGATAAACATCACAAAACCGTATGATGGTTTTGGAGAAAGGATGACGGGCACTTGAATTTTTTCTACCTATGATCTCTAATTTGCTTATTATTAGAGAAGGCAGGAGTAAATACAAAAGGGGGCTATTTCGGTCAGGCAACAGCTAAAGCCGAGGAGAGAAGGCACATTCATACTTCTCCCGACTTGCTGCCTAATGAGTAGCAATTAATTCATCTTATTGTATTTCCAAATGCCAAAGACTCCATTCACATCCAAGAAAAAAATGTTCAAGGCTTTTACCATTGTTCATTTTTAAATGTACTGAGCTATATTTAGTATATTATAATTGTCAACAGCATCTCCTTTAATTCTGATGTGGGTCTTAGCATCATATAAAGGCTGTAGATGAGGATTATAGACGGGGAGACTCATAGGTGTGCCTGATGACTCTCTCCCAGGAGGACAGGGGTTTAGGACAGCTCCACGCCAGATCCAGGTGTTTGGGAGAAGGCACCCTTCGGATCTTAGTCCCTTTTTCTCTAGGCGGTGACAGCAAGGGGCGGG